AGGAAAGAATACTGGAGTGGGTAGCCATTCCCTTCTCCAGGGGATATTCTGACCCAGGGATTGAACCCAGGTTTCCTGCATTGCAGTCAGATTCTTTACCATCTGAACCACCAGGGAAGCCCATAATTAACATATTTTATAAGTTTTTACTTATACAATTAATTAACTGCATTGTATAAGTTTAAGGTATACAGCATAATGATTTGACTTACAGGCATTGTGAAGTGATTACCACAATTGTTTAGTTAGCATCCATCATCTCATACAGATACCAAAGACAAGAAAAAGAGGAAGAAAAAGTTTTTCCTTATGATAAGAACTCTTAGGAGTTATTCTCTTAACTTTCATACATATCACATAGCAATGTAATTATCATCATGTTTTAGATCACATCCCTAGTATTTATTTATCTTATAACTGAAAGTTTGTACCTTTTGACCACCTTCATCCAATCTCCCCCAACCCCACCTCTGGAAACTACAAATATGACCTCTATTTCTATAAGTTTGTTTGTTTTTTAGGTTCTACATATAAGTTAGATCATATGGTACTTGTTTTTGTCTGCCTTATTTCACTTAACATAATGTTCTCAAGGTCCATTTATGTTGTTACTATTGGTAGGATTTCCTCTTTTTTAAGGTTGAATGATATTCCACATCTTCTTTATCTGTTGATAGATACTTGGTCATCTATTGATAGATACTTACATTTTCCCCATGTCTTAGCTATAGTACTGCATAGCCACATTATTCATAGTAGCCAAACAGTGGAAATAATCTAAGTGTCCAACCAATGATAACTCAATAAAACAAAGGGTATTATAGTCATACAAAGGAACTTTTTTGGCAATAACAAAGAATGAGCCCTTGTTAGATGCCACAACAGGATGAACCTTGAAAACACTGTGATAAATTAAAGAAGCCAGTCACAAAATATCATAATATTATATAATTCTATTTATATGAAATGTCTGTAGTAGGCAGATCAATCGAGACAAAAAGTAGATTAGTGATTTCTTAGGGCGTGAAATGGGGACATTGGATGGTGATAGCTAACAGATACAAGGTTTCTTTCTGGTGTGATGAAAATATTCTAAAATTAGATTGTGGTGATGGCTACACAATTATGTGACTATGCTAAAAGTTATTGAATCATATCCTTTAATTGGGTGAATTGTATAGTATGTGAATTATATCTCAACAGAGCTATTAAAAACTATTTCATTTACTACATTAGCAGGTCTGATGAGAAAATCTGCATGATCCTATCAGTTGGTGCATACTTATTTATCTACAAACTGGAAGTGACTTTAGATAATGTTACTGTCTTACTCCAAAAGAGTCTCTCCACTGGCTACCACCACTTTCATTTCCAAGATAACTGACGTGATCCTGCACTGTGTCCAAACTCAGGGTAAAATCCTAAAGTGTGGCCCTTACTGAACAACAAATCATGCCTCTCTTAAGAAACCCACTATAAGACATCCAGAGGATACACTTGGCATAACCCCAGCCTGCAATTTATCTTTTCTGAGCTTATTTTCCCTCTTGAGCCCAGAGCAATAATTGACCCATTAATATTTCCAATTAGAAAAGAAAGAAGGATAAGAAGTTTCTAATACACAACTGAGTTTTTTCATGATTTAGTCAGACCCTGTCCTGGATATAAAGTACTAACCCATGAAAGATAAACAGCTTTACCAGGCAGTTAGAAGATGACATTTAAGAACTTTCCTGGTGGTCCAGTGGTTAAGACTCCACACTCCCAATGCCAGAGGCCTGGGTTCAATCCCTGGTTAGGGAACCAGATCCCATGTGCCACAACTAACAGTTCACATGTGACAACTAAAGACTGAAAGATCCCATTAGCCATAACTAAGACCCAGCAAAGCCAAATAAATAAATAAATATATAAAAAAGAAAATGACAGCACACACTTTTATGGCCTTGAGCTCTTCAAGCAGCCAGATAGAGCCCATTCTCCAACGTTCAGCTCACCCAACTCAGATGACTTTACGGGAAATGTAAATGTTTCTCTGTATGTGCATGCTGTCTTTCAGTCATGTCCAACTCTTTGAGACCCCATGGACTGTGGCCTGCCAGACTCCTCTACCATGGGATTCTCCAGGCAGGAGTACTGAAGTGGGTTGCCGTGCCATGAAAAGATATAGAGGAAAGCAAAAGAATGGGAAAAACTAGAGATCTCTTCAGGAAAATTAGAGAGACCAAGGGAACACTTTGTGCAAAGATGGGCACAACAAAGGACAGAAATGGTATGGACCTAACAGAAGCAGAAGATGCCAAGAAGAGGTGGCAAGAATACACAGAAGAACTATTCAAAAAAGATTTTAATGACCCAGATAACCGTGATGCTCTGGTCACTCACCTAGAGCCAGACATCTTGGAGTGTGAGGTCAAGTGGGCCTTAGGAAGCATTGCTACAAACCAAGCTAGTCGAGGTGATGGAATTCCAGTTGACCTATTTCAAATCCTAAAAACTGATGTTGTGAAAGTGCTGCCCTCAATAGGCCAGCAAATTTGGAAAATTCAGCAGCGGCCACAGGACTGGAAAAGTCAGTTTTCATTCCAATATCAAAGAAAGTAAATGCCAAATAATGTTCCAACTATGGCACAATTGCACTCATCTTACACACTAGCAAAGTAATGTTCAAAATCCTCCAAGGTAGGCTTCAACAGTACATGAACCAAGAACTTCCAGATGTTCAAGCTGCATTTAGAAAAGGCAGAGGAACCAGAGATCAAACTATGAACATCCATTGGATCATAGAAAAAGCAAGAGAATTCCAGAAAAATATTTACGTCAGCTTCATTGACTATGCTAAAGCTTTTAACTGTATGAATCACAACAGATGGCGAGAAATTCTTCAAGAGATGGGAATACCAAACTACCTTACCTGCCTCCTGAGAAATCTGTATGCAGGTCAAAAAGCAACAATTAGAACCAGACATGGAACAACAGACTGGTTCCTGATTGGGAAAGGAGTATGTCAAGGCTGTATATTGTCACCCTGTTTATTTAATTTATATGCAGAGTACATCATGTGAAATACTGGGCTGAATGAAGCACAAGCTGGAGTCAAGATTGCAAGGGAAAAATATCAACAACCTCAGATACATAGATGACACCACCCTTATGGCAGAAAGTAAAGGGGAACTAAAGAACCTTTTGATGAGGAGAGTGAAAAAGTTGGCTTAAAGCTCAGCATTCAGAAAACGAAGATCATGGCATGTGGTCCCATCATTTGATGGCAAATAGGTGGAGAACCGGTGGAAACAGTGACAGACTTTATACTCTTGGACTCCAAAATCACTGCAGATGGTGACTATATGCAATTAATTAAAAGATGCTTGCTCCTCGGAAGAAAAGCTATGACAAACCTAGACACTGTATTAAAGAGCAGAGACATCACCTTGCCAACAAAGGTCTGTATAGTGAAAGCTGTGGTTTTTCCAGTAGTCATGTGTGGATGTGAGAGTTGAACCATAAAGAAAGCTGAGCACTGAAGAACTGATGCTTTCAAACTGTGATATTGGAGACAACACTTGGAAGTCCCTTGGACAGCAAGGAGATCAAACAGGTCAAACCTAAAGGAGGTCAATCCTGAATATTCATTGGAAGGACTGATGCTGAAGCTGAAGCAGCAATACTTTGGCCACCTGATGCGAAAAGCCCACAAATTGGAAAAGACCCTGATGCTGGGAAAGACTGAAGGCAGGAGGAGAAGGGAATGTCAGAGGACAAGATGGTTGGATGGCATTACCAACTCAATGCACATGAGTTTGAGCAAGCGCTGGGAGTTGATGGACAGAGAAGCCCTATGTTCTACAGTCCATGGGGTTGCAGAGTCAGACACTACTGAACAACAAAAATAACATTAAAAAAATTTTTTTTAATTTATTTGGCTGCACTGGGTCTGCCTTGCTACACACAGGCTTTTTCTACTTCTGATTCCTGGGCTTCTCCTTGTGGTGGCCTCTCTTGTTATAGAGCACAGGCTCTAGAAACACAGGCTTCAGTAGTTCTAACAGATGAGCTTAGTTCTCTTGAGGCATGCAGAATCTTCCCAGAATATGGATTGAACCCATGTCCCCTGCATTGGCAGGTAGATTCTTAATCACTGGGCCTCCAGGGAAGTCCCAAAATTTTTATATTTTATCTCCTTTTCCCACTAAACAAGGAACTTCTCAAGAGCTATAGTATTGGCATTTTTGTGGTTTTCCATTTTCAAGGGCCTCTTATCAGAGTTACTTAGGCAGACATACTTTCCCACCTATGATGGGTAGTGTTTCATTTTCAGGAGTTCTACAGGCCAGTTGGCTCCTTCCCAAGACTGGGTAATCCAAAGGTTAACACCATACCAGGACTCTGCTGTAAGACCTTGTGGTAAAGTCAGATTGTCATTCTTACTACTGAGTTTCACTCGTATCTGGCCTGGGCTCCAAAACGGATGCCTTTTACAGGACTGCTCATTAGAGTGAGTTTAGTATTATTGCACTGGGTTCATGTCAAATATTTTTCAGATAGTATTGTCACATGGACTTTGGACGTTAGAAGTACATTCCTCCGATTGGACACCTGGGTGAGTTTTACTTGTTATTTCAGCCATGTTCATGGGAGATGCCTAAGAAACAAATTGCTCAGTGACGGCCACAGGACAAGAAGAAATTCAAGTACCTCCCTATTGCCTGTCTTCATGGAAGAGGTGGATGGGGAAGCGTAATATAGCCTTTGAAGATTCTGATTTACATCCCAGGTCATGTACCCAGGTCGCTGATATCAGAAGTTTTGTCTTCATCCTTGTGTGTTTAAGACCATCAAACCTAACCCCTGGATCTTGTTGTCTTTTGTGTGTGTGTTTGAACCCATTCTCCTTCTCTGAGTGAAACTCTGCAATTGAAACATTACAGTGGACTGTCTGGATAAGGAGCATGTTTTCACCACATCTTTGGGTTATGATCTTTTCATTTACAATTGACAAATTTTAGATCTTTCATTTACAATAGTTTATTTTTTCTGGGCTGTGTTGGTGTAGACACTATGTCAGTTTGAAAAAAGAGCAATAAATTGCATGAACACCCCTACACAGCACCAGCCTGTGTGAGCCATCTCTGTCTCCAGAGTTTTAGGAACTCATCCTGCCTCAGCTGCCAAGGCTCCTGGGATTAGAGACTAGCAGACAATCACACACTGCTCTGTATTTCAGGCAATACACATAGATGGACTTTGGAGTGAAGAAATCATATTTGTTGAAACCTTTGCCCAGTGTTATAAATCTGTGTGCCGCGTGGCAGGGATGTCTCTGAGTCTGGAACAAAGAACAAAGAGCGTTTTGGTTAGTCACACTGAGGAAAGCACAGAAGCAGCAGAAATCACAGGAGTGTTAATAACAATAAGGTGCCCCGGCCCCCTCTCCTCCTGAAGGACGGCCTGCCTTTTATTCACCTCCTCAAGTGGATTGCTGAAGCATTCCGATTCCAGATCTGGACTTTCAAAACAATAAAACTAATGTTGGAATCATGCCCCAGGCCTTGGCGATCCATTTTTAATTATGAGTTTAGAGCTTGCAAAGAATCATAAAACCTCAAGGTGGCCCCAAACCTGGAAGTCAGTGTTTCCTGTCATCACTGGGCTCAGGGGGTGCCCTACAATCCAGTGTCACAAAGCCTCTCAGAGGCCCAGTAAGCCCCACAACATTCAGTGGGATCCTTTAAAACACTGACATGATTCAGAAATACAATTTTTTTTCTTTGTAGAAACATTCTAAGTTATATAAAAGTATTAAAACATTTTCATAATTCCACAACAGCACATTTTGTTCACCATCCTCTTCTGTGATTAAGCTTATAATTGATGTGTTAAATCTTACAGAATAAAAAAGAAAAATGTATATTTCTACTTTTGATGCTTAAATCCTGAATGCTGCCATTTATTCCAGTAAAACATCAAAGCATGCTTGGACAGGGACCTTGTTGGAGATAGCAGTATTTTACAATAGGGTGTAAAAAATTGCAAAATCAAGCCAGCTCCATGAGAATGTGCACAGCATGACGTTCTCTGTGAAGATCCTGGCAGGGCCAGAAAATCCTGCACTCATAATTGCCTAAATCCTACTGTCATCACTTGCTGGGCACAGTCCATAATCAATGGAAGGATTCCAGAGGTGTGTGATATGACCCCTGATTTCTTATCACAGACACTAAAATTCAGACAATTAAATCTGAAAGAAAGCAATCTAGAGTAGGTAAAAACAGAGTGATTGAGGTGTGTGGATTTGTGTTGATCTTGCGCTGATTAGAGCTGCCAACAGAAGGCTCCTGCTGCCCTGAAGAGGTAGAGAGGCAGATCTTTGGAGGGAAGATTCTAACGTTATGTGATGTTATCTGGGCTTAGAAGAGAGTTCTGCCAAGAACGGGGATCTGCTAAGCGTGAAGTTAAACTCTGTTGGCCTTAACCCCACGTACTGACTGAGATGATACTTGGTATGCAGTGATCTTTCATTTTTCTGTAGACTCTGCAGACATGGTGGGCCATCTGAAGGCACATCTGCTTGCAAACAGTCACACCCTGAATGTGGGATACATGGATACACCCTTGACTTTTTCACCTTGCTTTTCATTGCATTCTTCAATGAAGAATTTAACTCTGAAATTTAAAAGAGAAAAAAAAAAAAACTGGCTTATGTCTTGGCTTCAGTTTTGTTATCTGCACAGTAACAGGATTGGTTGAACAGCATCATCACTGAGTACCCTCCCCAGCTCTGCATTCTCTTCTGTGGACTTCCAGAAGCTAAATGTTCCAGGTTAGGCAGGAGCAGTGTGATCGCTGCTCCAGATTCACAGTGCAGGCCTATTGGAAAAGCTGGGTTCTTTGCTAAAACAGTGTTTTGGTGACTGCCCCTCTAAACCCAATTCTTCACTTGTCAGCTACATTATTGGAAGTCAGGGCTCCCCAATGAGGGGAGTTCAAAGACACAGGAAAGAAAGGATATGTGGGTGAGAAGCAGTGCTTTTTTTTATAAAATGATTCTCCTTTTTATCTTTTTGAGTTTCAGATGCACATTACTTATGAATTGATTACCACTTTTGTTTGCATATAATGCATTACCTTAATTTTTAGGAAGTATTTTGTTAGACGAGTTCTACAATAGTTTTTCCTTAATTTCGGTATTCTTTTGAAAGGGTCTTTAAAGTGGAATGCATGACACCCTTCAGAAAGCTCCATCACTTAACTCTGTAACACTGTAAGGTGAGAAGTTTTAATTCTTCTTTTTGAATAAAGAGGAAACTAAAACAGGTAGATTTAAACACATCAGGGAAATGGAATTAGTTTCTTGGTGACTCAGACAGTAACAAATATGCCTGCAATGCAGGAGACCTGGTCAGAAAGATCTGGTCAGACCTGATCAGAAAGACCTGGTTAGACATGAATCAGAAAGATCCACTGGAGAAAGGAATGGCTACCCACTCCAGTATTCTTGCCTTGAGAATTCCATAGACAGAGGAGCCTGATAGGCTACAGTCCTTGGAGTCACAAAGATTCGGACATGACTGAACAACTAACACAAATTGTACAGGGTCATTTGAGCACTAATGGTAAACAGAGTTCAAGAAAAACATCTATTTCTGCTTTATTGACTACGCCAAAGCCTTTGACTGTGTGGATCACAATAAACTGTGGAAAATTCTGAAAGAGATGGGAATACCAGACCGCCTGACCTGCCTCTTGAGAAATCTGTATGCGGGTCAGGAAGGAACAGTTAGAACTGGACATGGAACAATGGACTGGTTCCAAATAGGAAAAGGAGAACATCAAGGCTGTATATTGTCACCCTGCTTATTTAACTTATATGTAGAGTACATCATTAGAAACACTGGGCTGGAAGAAGCACAAGCTGGAATCAAGATTGCCGGGAGAAATATCAAGAACCTCAGATATGCAGATGACACCACCCTTATGGCAGAAAGTGAAGAGGAACTAAAAAGCCTCTTGATGAAAGTGAAATAGAGGAATGAAAACATTGGCTCAAACTCAACATTCAGAAAGCTAAGATCATGGCATCTGGGCCCAATACTTCATGGCAAATAGATGGGGAAACAGTGGAAACAGTGGCTGATTTTATTTTTCTGGGCTCCCAAATCACTGCAATCATGGTGATTGCAGCCATGAAATTAAAAGACGCTTCTTATTCCTTGGAGGAAAGCTATAACCAACCAGATAGCATATTAAAAAGCAGAGACATTACTTTGCCAACAAAGGTCCATCTAATCAAGGCTATGGTTTTTCCAGTAGTCATGTATGGATGTGAGAGTTGGACTATAAAGAAAGCTGAGCACGAAGAATTGATGATTTTGAACTGTGGTGTTGGAGAAGACTCTTGAGAGTCCCTTGGACTGCAAGGAAATCCAACCAGTCCATCCTAAGGGAGATCAGTTCTGAGTGTTCATTGGAAGGACTGATGCTGATGCTGAAGCTGAAACTTCAATATTTTGGACACCTGATGCAAAGAGCTGACTCATTTGAAAAGACCCTGATGCTAGGAAAGATTGAAGGCAGGAGGAGAAGGGGACAACAGAGGATGATTTGGTTGGATGGCATCACCAACTCTATGGATATGAGTTTGGGTAAACTCCGCGAGTTGGTGGTGGGCAGGGAGGCCTGGCATGCATGGTTGATGGGGTCACAAAGAGTTGGATGCGAATGAACTGAACTGAGCTGAACTGACTGGTAAAGAAGCTCCCCTGGCAGTGCAGGAGGCATAGAAGGTATGGGTTTGATCCTTGGGTTGGGAATATCCCCTGGAGGAGGGCATGGCAACCCATTCCAGTATTCTTGCCTGGATAGTCCCATGGACAGAGGAGCCTGGCAGGCTGCAGTCCATGGGGTCGCAAGAGTCAGACATGACTGACGCAACTTAGCATGCACAGGATCAATTTAAGATGTACAGATGACACTTCTGTTGAGGAGAGAAGGGACTTTCCAGCATGAGTGAAATCACATGGATTTAATACCCTATAGATGCTGCTCTAAGGCAGGTATCTGATTGTGGCAGCATCTGGATAAATACCAGATAATTTTATTTTTCCCACTAGGTGTCTTTCTTTTAGGCTTACTGTCTTAAGCCAGCTACCTTATCCTTTCTTCATGCTTCAGCACTGACATCCCGTAAGTTCAGTTCAGTTCAGTTTAGTCGCTCAGTCGTGTCCAACTCTTTGCAACCCCATGAGCTACAGCACGCCAGGCCTCCCTGTCCATCACCAAGGCCTGGAGCCTACCCAAACTCATGTCCATTGAGTCAGTGATGCCATCCAACCATCTCATCCTCTGTCATCCGCTTCTCCTTCTGCCCCCAATCTTTCCCAGCATCAGGGGCTTTTCAAATGAGTCAGCTCTTCCCGTCAGGTGGCCAAAGTATTGGAGTTTCAGCTTCAGCATCAGTCCTTCCAATGAACACCCAGGGCTGATCTCCTTTAGGATAGACTGGTTGGATTTCCTTGCAGTCCAAGGGACTCTCAAGAGTCTTCTCCAACACCACAGTTCAAAATCATCAATTCTTCTTTATAGTCCAACTCTCACATCCATACATGACTCCTGGAAAAACCATAGCCTTGACTAGATGGACCTTTGTTGACAAAGTAATGTCTCTGCTTTTTAATATGCTGTCTAGGTTAGTCATAACTTTCCTTCCAAGGAGTAAGCATCTTTTAATTTCATGGCTGCCGTCACCATCTGCAGTGATTTTGGAGCCCCCAAAAATAAAGTCAGCCACTGTTTCCACTGTTTCCCCATCTATTTGCCATGAAGTGATGGGACTGGATGCCATGATCTTACATGATCTGACATCCGATAAAGGTTGGAAATTGAACCACACTCAGGCCAAAATTGTATCTCCTTAAAATCTACCTGGGGTGCGGAGTGAAATCAAATCAACAGTGGCATGGAAAGCTATCTGCCCAGGAAGCAGCTCAGGACCCCAGGTAAGTTAGGTCATCTCTGACCTCTTCCCTGAGGCCTTAACCCTGAGGGTATGAAATGGAATTGAATAAGGGGATCGGCATTCTCCAGAGATCACAGATGAAGGGGTCAAGAAAACAAGACCCATCCCCATACACCAGAAAGCAACTTTCAGTAGTATAAATCCATTCGGTAGAATATTTGTTATAGAATCAGAGAACTTAAAGAAACTCCATTAAACCATCCAATTTATAAACTGCTTTCAAATAATTCACAAGTATTCATTGAATTACTTCTTGCACCCCCAGGCATGTACTGGGATGGAATCCAACCCGTACTGTTTTTTCAAGACAGATTATCTCAAAGTATCCTTTGGTCATCTTTTCTAGTCTCATCAGCATCAGTCACCCAGTTAATACCTAACCTAAATCACTCCTGCTACTTATTTAAGCCTTTATTTTCTTTGATACCTATGAGATATGGGAAAACAGCAAGTATCCTTTTCTGGAAACTTCTCAGTGCTGTGATTCAGAGTGAATAGAGCATGTAGGGAAGAATCTCAAAAAACGTAGATTGTTTAATTCTCCCATTAAGAACTGGGAGTAAAGTAATGTATTTTACTTTCCCATTGATTAGCTTTGTGGTCTTGGGCAAGTGATATACCACCCTTAAGCTTCAATTTTTTCTCTCATAATAAAAATATAACTTTTAAGCTGAAGATTATTATAATGGATTAAAGGGGTAATTTATGCAGAAAAAAAAATGTATCAACTGTGAAGTGTAATCCAGATGCCAGATAGAGTAAAAATTGTTCATTTGTCTTCTTTGGAGAAATGTCTATTTAGGTCTTATGCTAATTTTTTTATTGTGGTTTTTTGGTTGGTTTTTTTTTTTTTTTTTTTTTTTGATGCTGAGTTGTATGAGCTTTGTGTGTTTTGGAAATTAAACCCTTGTTTGTTGCATTATTTACAAGCATTTTCTCCCATTTCATAGAATGTACTTTCATTTTATTGATGGTTTCGTTTGCTGTGCAAAACCTTCTAAGTTTCATTAGGTCACATTTGTTTATTTTTGCTTTTATTTATTTCACCTTAAGAGACTGATCTAAGAAAATGTTGGTATGATTTATGTCCAGGAATATTTTGCCTCTATTCTCTTCCAGGATATTTATGGTAATATCATATATTTAGGTCTTCAAACCATTGTGAGTTCATTCTTGTATGTGGTATATGAGAGTGTTCTAATTTCATTGATTTACATGTAGCTGTCCAGCTTTCCCAGCACCATTTATTGAAGAGACTGTCTTTTTTCTGTTGTGTATTTTTGCTGCCTTTGTTGAAGATCAATTGACCTTAGGTGTGAGGGTTTATTTCTGGACTCTATTCTGTTCCATTGATCTATATGTCTGTTTTTATGTAAGAACCGTGCTGTTTTGATTACAGTAGCCTTTTAGTGTTGTCTGAGTAGACAGCATCCTTAAACACCTATTTGAAACTGGAAGCTGAGATGTATGGCATAGAGAAAACCAAAGACTGAGTATTGATTGACACATTATCTGGGGTAAGCTGAGAGAAGCAAGAATAAATCATTATGTCATCAGATACCAACAGTTTAATGTCAATACAGAGGTGTACACTGCTGGATAATTTTCAGTATTCCAAAAGAAATACTAACCGCTCTGCTTTGGTGAG